TTATTGTAGAGATGAAGTCTCGCCAAGTTGCCCAGGTGGGTCTCGAACCCACGGGCTCAGGCAATCCACTCACCTCAGCCTCCCAAAGGCTCAGGCAATCCACTCACCTCAGCCTCCCAAAGGCGTGGGATTACAGGCTGAGCCACCGAGCCTGGCTAAGGATTATTTCATTCATAAAATTTCATGCCTTCAAAGATCACACTGCTCTTTATTCCTCCAAGAAGCCACCTGAAGGAAGCTTTTGATCATTTAGACATCTATTCTGTTTAATGTTGTAAACACTAGCACTGAATACCTATTTGAGCCTCTGGAAGTTATTCCAATGCTACAATATTGGAAAGAAAGTAGAATCTTCACCTATGCAATGGCCAAACAAGGGAAAAGTTCCTACAGAAATCTGGCTATAAGTTCAATTCACTTTTCTTACCTTATCCTAGACAATAACCATGAATGAACATTCCCAGATTATACTTGTTCTTTGAAGTACAATGAGCTTGTACTTTCCTAAATATGAAACTTGTTATAGTGCATCCTCTCCCTCAAATTAAAGCTCAAATGTTAATTATAGTATAGCTTTTCCTTGCTACTCCTTGTTCCAACTGGAATGAACTTCTCCCAATCCTCTGTTGCTCACTCCTTCAAAGATAACCAAATCAAGTGCTTTTCCATTCTGCATCTAAGATAGCACCAATATTGCCCCCATTTGGGTCAGAGAATTCTTTCTAGCACATGTGTAGTACTTCATAAAAGCCTACCTTGGCCACCACCCTCAGTCACAGAAAAAGTCTACTCTCCAGGGAAAGAATAGCCCTGTGTGTCAGGTAAAGAAAAACAACATGGGCAGTGGCTGCTATGAGTCCAGACGGTGTGACAGCTATACCTTCAACCTAAATTATTGACTGGCCCTGCAGCAGTAGTATAGTGGTAGCTATGGTAGATGTACAACTACAACAAGGTGGCCAGAGGAAAATTGGATTTATTGTACAGAAGCCTATTTTAGGAATTTTCCTAAAATGATCCAACTGGAAGGGAAACCTCTATCCCATTTCCTAAGATTCTCTTTTAACATATCTTCCTTTTGTTCCAAAGTATTTATGGAACAGACAATGCTTGGAACAGTGAGCATATAGTAGTGAGCAGACATCATACCTCTCCTTGTAAAGCTAACCTTCTAATGAGGTGGCAAATTACCTCAACAGACACCCCAACGATTATTTGATCAACTGTGAGAAGTGCAACAAGGGAAATAACAAGTGGGTTCAATTTTCTTTAAAACCTCAGCAAGAGCCATATCCTTTCAACAATGTCAACACAGGTGTCAAGCACAACACAAGCTGTGCTTAGAGCAAAAGGAAAACAGGGCAATTGTTTCAGAACTGGCAAGCATCTGAACTCAATGTAATGATTTTAGTGCCATGATTTTATTTGTGCCTCTTAAAAACTATTCTACACACTGGGGCTTTAAGGGCCTCCATGAAAGAGGAGCACAGTTGATGAGTTATTTTTAATTAAGACACATTTGTTATCAACAATCACTATGAGGAAGATAGGGGAGTGCCATGACCCCTGAAGCTCCTGCCCAGCGGCTGCCCCTACCTCCTTATTTGTCCTGTCGGCTTGCACCAAGGTTCCATTCAGGCAAGGCTCCACGTAGTGAAGTTCCTCATTATACTGCAAAGGAAAGAAATAGCCAAGAGGAAACACTTAATTAAGAACTTGAAGGGTGCTACTTAATAATTTAAGAATATATACACACAAATGAGCAACACAATCACAGGCCCAATTTATTCACATAAGTGACCTTCCCCATGGGTATCTCTATACACAATTGTGATTAAAAGCTAAAACAGACTCTATACTTTTCTTGTTTGAAGGAGAAACTTCTAGAGCACATGCTGGTGTATGACAGTGTGTAGGGTAAACTGTTAACAGACCATCCTTTAGGTTGGCTCTAACACTGGAAGTTCCCTGGGCATGGCCCACAGCATATGTTTCCAGGTAGGATCTAAAGAGCATCCAGAGTTGGGCGGATATGGCTCCAGCTCCTGTCTTTGGTTTCATAGAACCAAGGAACACATGTGTGGGTCACACATGAGTGGGAAAAGAATGGAGGAAAGAAGAGGCCTTACTGTTAACAGGTTATTCTGGGAGGTTATGTGGGTCCTGGTTAGCGCAGTGTCCACGAATAGTGACACCATTTTCCATGCACTGCCAGTGCCTGCCTTCCCATCACTTTGATCCCAGAATACCCAGAATATGACCCTACATTTTTGTCTGAAGCTCACAACCAGGTAGTAGAAATTTGGGTATTCTTATCTTCATTTCTTTCATCTGGCTTGATTCTCTACCGTGTAGCTAGGCCGGTCCTTCCAAAATACACCTCTGATCCGGATGCCTCTTGTCAATCCATTCAAAGCTGCCCACTGCTCCGCAGATGAATCTTCATAGGACTTTGTGAGGCTCCGGACACTAGGCCCTGCTGACTATTCTAGGGTCTTCACTTGTTAGCTCTCTCCAAAAAGTTATCCAGGCCAGAACTAATTCTCTTCCTGTCCATGTCTCTTCTTTTCCTTAAGGCTCCCACCACTGGGCTTCCTGCCTGGAGCCCTCACTCTGGCATCTCCTCTTCTAGCTGACTCCTGTTTATCCTTAGTCAGCTCACTGCCAACTCCTCTAGAAGTTTCTTGTGTAGGCTAGGCTCCTTTTCTGTATACTGCCTGTAAATTCTAGTCACCTGTTGCCTGGATTCCCCACCACAAGGTGGGACCACATCATCAGGCCCACGTCTAGTCCCTCAGTGTATTCCTTGTGGCAAGCACAGGGCTGAATGCACAGTGGGTGTCCAAGGACAATCTGTTCAATGACAGCATCATGGTGTTTCCACTTCAGTGGCCAAAGAGGCCCAGAGCTCCTGAGGGAAGACACCAAAACCATCTCTCACAGTCCCATCTCTGGAACAAAGTCTGGCTAAGAGGTTTAGACTTTAAAACTGTGTAATCAGGGAGGACTATGCAGGGCTATGAGCAGGACAGTGAGTGAAATAAAGAGATGAGTATGGGACAATCTCTCTGGACAGAGACAGACTGAAGAGGGGCTAGACCTGCAGCTGTTTCACCAGCAACTGGGATCCATCAGCTTCTCATGCAGAGATACTTACTAGCCAAGCGGTAGTAGTGATCACACCGATACTGGCAATTTACTGTTACTGAGTACACACTGCATCTAGGCACAGGGTAAATTTCATTTGTGGGTTATTAGTCTTATGTGGTGAGGACGTCTAATCACTCCCCCTTTATAGATGGGGACACTAAGGCAGAGCAAGGATGATCAACTTACCCAAAGACTTCAGGGAGTAAGGGACAGAGTCCAGATTCAAATCCAGGCAACCTGACTTCACAGCCATTCACCCCAGGACCTCACAGCCCCAACTTCTAACCTCCAAACCTCCATATTTCCTCATCAGTCAGGCATCTGCCCCTCTTTAATCTTTGCTCTGTCATACACAAGTATTTAAAAAATTATATCTTAATGGTCTCAGAGCCTCTGGATTCTGATGGGGTGCAGAGAAAAGCATATTTATGCAATTCTGATATTAGCCATTGAGAAATGGAAGTCACTTCTAGTAAACAAATGGAATGTCATCTCAGGATCCAGGAAGCAATTGCACAGTCCAACTGAAAAAAGACTCCAAAGTTCTCAGTACCTTTTGGACTGACACCAGAAAGTGCTGAGAAGGCAGTTATTTCTGTCTCCTTCACCTCCCTTGCTGACTGATTTGGTTCAGGGTGACAATACACCCATTCCTAAGACCTGAAGCATAGTCAGTCTGTGCCAGTCACAGTCACCCAGTCTCCCTCTGCTGGACTGGGTGCTTTCATAGCCTGTCTTGCAGCTAGGGTGCAAGATGACCCATTTTTAGCCAATGAGACATAAGGGGAAGTTTTCTGGGCAGTTTCAATGAAACTTTTTTCTGACATTAAAGGAAAATTCTTCTATAATCACTCTTTCCTTCCCACTCAGGATGCTATTGTGGAGTTGCTGCAGCCATTTTGTAACCATAAGGTGACAAAACAAATAATAAAAAGCAAAGCCCAAGGAAAACAGATCAGGAGGATGGAGCCAGAGTAGCTCCTTAATGATACTTCTGAATCACTGTGCAAAGGTTGCAGCTGCCCTCCCTCCTATAAGCATCTAACATGTGGGTATCAGAAGCCTATATGCTGAACTGACCTTTATTCACCCGTTCTGCAACTTCTGAGCCCCAAATTTTTATAACTCTTATTCCTCTAACTGAGGTTCCTATCTTGGATCTCCTTCCTTTGATTCTTCCATTTTCCAGGTAAATTTTAAAACTCCATTAACATACTATCTAACACACATTCTCAAAGTTGATTCCCAGGGTTATACAGTCAGAGTTGGGGGTCAGAACATTTGGGACTAAGTCCTGCCTCTACCATGTGCTCACTGTGTGGCTTTGGGGAAGTCACTAGACCACTCTGATTCCAGATTGTTATGCATAAGAAGGTGTTAATTCACTTTCTGTTAACCCCTCCCTATCCTCTGGGCCCCTATAGAGATCTCTAGAAAGGCAACAGACACAAAGCTGCTTTGTTAATGTAAAAGTCTGTACTTGTAGGGGCAGTAGAGGGGGGTTAAAAGTCAAGAAGACCAAGAAGTTCTTGCCCTCATCAGGGAGGTACATGTGCAGTAATCAAAACCACACTCGCCGTACTGTGTGCACTGTAGCCTCAGTGGAGGAATTTGCTCTTGTGAACCTCAGCCAGCTTGTTAGTGGCATCATCCAAGCCTGCAGTTGACTAATTTCCCTTGACTGCGTCAGGATAAAGTTATGCTAAGCAATCTGGTCTGTATCACCAAAAGGAGTAGGGCTCAGCCTTACATGTAAGGGAGCAGTGCACACCAGGCAGCTGTACCCAGGAGGCCTGCTGACTGAGCATGCTCATCTCAATACCCGGGGGCACATCAAGGATGCCCTGCACACCTGGAACTGCTTCCAAACTCTTAGCGGTTCTTCATTTGGAAACCTTTCAAACTTCTGCATTTGCATGTATTTTTATATGAGAGGGGAGACTCTCCCCCAAACAGAGTTTATTTATAAAAAATTGTGTATTTATTCTTACATGTTTAAACTTCAGTCACCTAAAAAGTACTCTCCATTTGATGCAATGCACCTATCGAGACACTTTTCCACTACTCAAGACAGTTTTTGAACTTGTCAATTTTGATGCCTTTTATTGCTTCTGCCCTTTTTTGTTTCAGATCTTCCACATTAGCAAAGTGTTTTCCTTTGAAGACTTTTTTCATCCAGGGGGAAAAAAAGTGAATCAAGATGAGATCAGGTGAATAAGGAGGATGGGGCATGGGGGTCACACCATTTTTAGTCAAAATCTGCTGAACACTCAGTGCAGTGTGGTAAATCACCCATCATGAAATAGGCAAACAATTGAAAGAATCTCCAAAAAAAATTCACTGAAGTTGAACACAGCTTCTCACAACAACGCTAGCTGGTACACTCATGCTGCTGGGTTCCTAGAATACTTACCTAATAGAGAAATCTTGTACTACAAGAGGCTTGCCCTCCAAAAAATAATTGTCTTTTGGGAGGGGGCTTCCTCATATGTCCCCTAGATTCTACTTCGTGCAATGATGATGTAGAATAGCCATATCTATTTACAACTGAAGATCTGGTTACCTCTTGCCCCTAGGACACAACAGCCTCCTAAATAGCTCCCCTTCTTCCCTACTTAAACAATCTGATATCAACAGTCTAAGAAAGAAAAGGATGCAAATTACGTAATTGACAGCCAGATGCAATTTCCTTCTGTCATTCGCTTTTACTCCCCTAAAGAGCCACTCAACCTCCTCCCTCCCACCGAAGTGGTTAGTCCTTCCTATAAATGTCTGGGCAATGGGAAGCATCTCTTAGTAGTTCAGTTCAGTCCCCCAATCACATGGTGAGGAGATGGACAAAGACTCTCACTCCTTAAAGAGCTTAGAACCTGTCACATAACAGGCACTTCATCACTACTAGCTTTCTTGTCCCTTCCTTCTACTTAGTTGGAGTTCATCTTCTGATTCACACAAGGGTAGACCAGTAGAGCAAAACCGACTGAGGCCTGGGTTCAAATCCTGACTCTGTCACACACTAACTGGGTGACCTTGGCCTCAGCTTTTGTGTTGTGGTAACAGAGATCCAAACTGAACCTCTCTCATGAGATCACTGTGAGGATAGCATGAGATAATTCAGCAGTTAACATAGAACCTGGCATGTAAGAAAGAGAAAGAAAGCATCTGGGTACACATGTACTAGTGCACAAAACAGAAAGAAAACATATATGTGAGCATGCTGTGTACTAAATAGAAAGGCCAACAGATGACGCCCTGCAACCCAGAACTGGTGCTTGCTAAGTAAGAAGGGAGTGACCTACCCTTGGGGATGGGGTTTATGTTTCCTTGGCCTCCCCTGGAGAGCACAGACTCTGCATTTGAGGGAGACAGTAGCCATCAGACACATGCCACTAAGTACCTGAGACAGAAACCCATGGTGCCTGGCCATACACCATCCCACTCCATGCTACAATGAACCCTCCCGGGGATCTCAGATCTTTAGCAGACTGGAGGCCAAGACGATGTCCCCCACACAGTACTCATACAAACACACATACAACCTTAAGTTTCTGAAAACAAACAACCTGCTTCCTCCTTATTTACAAAGGCAGCCTCAGCGCTTAACACCAAACACTCAATGCTATTTGCTGAGTAAATCAATAAGCAGAACAAAGAAACAAAAAGGCAAAATTGTAGAGAAGATCACTAATGGACTAAAGACTAGGAACAGAGCCAGAAAAAAAAGTTGGCATAGAAACAGAAAAATAAGATGAGAATCTCTATCCCTTCACAAAGCAGATAAATAAACAAAAAGTAAAGGAAGTAAGTGGGTATTTTGAGAGAATCCAAAGTTCCACAAAAACCCCATAGAATTAAATGCTGGCATGCCCATGTAATGCAAGAAACTGATGCAGAATTGCTGGGACTCCATTAAACATTGTTATGGTTTTATTGGTGCACTTTTGATTAAATAACCTTTAGAATGAAAATGTGTAGGGATTATGTAATGAAGCAGATGAATCTACAGTATTTTCACCAACACAGGCATCCCAGGGATCTTCTGCATTACAAAAGCTCTTATGTAATTTGAAACACGACTGGACACAATTAGTAGCACAGAACAAATGAGCACTGAAAGAAAATACCATCTTCATACTTTTAATACGGAATCGATTACTTTAAAAAGCAAATCCACAGCCAGCAAAGCACTGGAGAAAAAGTTCTAAAGAAAATTCTGCAAATTAAAACCAGGGTACCAGAAAGTTCGGGGTTGAACTAACAAATGATGCTCTTCTCAATTCAGCTCTGCACGAATACCAGCTGCAGGAGGCATTTAAATTGATTTAACAATATCAGTCCAGTTAATGCTGTGTTCATTTAATGCATGGCTTAGGCTTCTGTAAAATCATTTTTCAAATTTCAGCATCGGATAGAATTAGCACCCTCATTTTTATGATAATATTGTTAATTTAATGCATGGCTTGAAGTTAGACTTCAAAGTGAATCAGAAAAATACGCCTTTTCTCTTGTCAGAGACATCTCTCTTCATGCACCAGTGGTTTGACCTTAAATTTTAACTTCAATTGCACAAAATCACTCTCATATTTCAACTATTCTTTTATAATTCAATCAGTTAGTCAGTTCTAGATAGAGTTTGCAATGCCTGGCCCGTGGAAGCTAAAATAATTTTTTAATATTATCTCTTTATGTTTATTCTCTGGGAAAACCTGGATAAGAAGCTTTTCAGTATAACAAATAAGATGAAGTTCACAATGAACATAATAAAACATGCAAGTCTACAAAATTGACTTAAGTAGCCAAGCAAGTCTTTCACACTATTTAAATCTCCCTCCTCCCTGCTCCATGAACATGGAAAATCAAATGGCAATGATCAATTGGATTTGTACAGACAAAAACCTATAGTACAAGGGCTTCCAACATTGAAAATAAAGAACGCTATCTTTAATTTCACTGAAACACTGAAATGTCTCCTCAAACATCTACCCAGCAAGCAAAGAAATGCTGATGGTGTAATGAAGGATGAAATGATAATGCCCTCTCTGGTAACTGGAATCCAGTAGACAAGAACAATGCACTCAAACAGATTTGCAGGGCATTCTGAATGGCGTTTCAGATACCCCATTCCTCTGCACTTACAAGAACCTGTGGTTGGGTTGCCCCTAGACAGGAGGCAAGTGAACATTTCAAACAGATTGAGGGAAAACCCACATCATATTTGTAGCACAATTATGCCATGGGGAAAACAGAAGGAGGTGATAGAGGAAAAAATAATAGTCAACAAAGCAAAATTGGTGAAACACACTTAAGGTTGAGGAAGGCAATTCAAAATGCAAATGAAAAGTTGCCAGTTATTACTCTACTATTATTTCGAACTCTCAAACTGTTGGCAAGTGTGTAAACAATATAACCTACTTGGTGGACACTCTGGTAGTACCTATATGCATATCCTTTGGTGCAGCAATTTCGTTTCTAGGTTTTATTCAATAGAAGCATACCCAACTCTGCAAAAAAGATATGCATTCCATTCAGTGCATTCCATACAGTGACAACAAGTCCATTCACTGTAGCACTCTTGAGCAGAAAATATGATGGAATGCTCTGCTATTCAAATACATTTGATTGCAAGTTGCTGAATATTCTGTAAAATATGATTCTATTTTGTAAAAAATTATGTGTGTTTCATATACATGGAAAAATTTAGAAGAATATGTGTCAAACAGAAGGGAAATGAGAACATTTCTAAATTGCTTAAAATTTTTACAGTATGCTCCCCAAATTAAAGAGCAATCACCCTATAAACATTACTGTTGATTAATTGTTGCTTTATGACCTTGGTCTTCTAATACAAATTCATTAACATGTCTGATCCATTCTCTTACCCATTAAGGGAACAGAGTTAATAATTTTACTATAAAATCTTCAAATAAAAAAGTTTAGAGTGTTTTTCTAGTTGTCAAAATAATTATGTAAATAGCATTGAAGCTGATTATTTATATTGAAAACTAATAAACAGATATACAGTGAGGGTTAATGGATCTCTAATGGGGTTCTTTATATAAAAGGACAACTTGGGGTAAAAAAATTAATTTCTTTCTTAACTGTTCTATAATAACTGGTATGCCTACTTTTAATTATCTTAATCACACCCTCTTCTTTATTGAGTTGACACTATTTGTATATCTTAATGAACTTACATAGATTATTTCAATCGATTGGTTTTGTTAACAGAACAATAAATCCTGACTGATAAAGGATTCAGGATGTAATTAGTTAGCTCGCTTATTATGTGAATTTCTGATACTTCTGTAATGAATAATTAAAGATTAATAAGAAAGATAGTCTCAAATTAGTTGCCTCTTATCTGTAAATGCTTCAGGATGTGTGAGGATCAGACCACATTTGCATATTCACCATGAGGCTGGTGACTAGAATAACTTTTCTTGATTAGAAAAGCTAAAGTTATAACTATCTGAAAGTCTTCCACAGAACTGTGCCCCCAGGCCACATAATCTCAAAAGATGGTGGAGTGGATTGACCTCTGCCCAAGAAACAGTACAAGGTAAAGTCGGACAGTGTCTAAGTCTTCACTGTGCCACTTTTTCTGGCTGTGTGACTCAAGATGTCCAGTTCTGCAGTTTCATTTGTCTTCACGCCATGTGGCACAGAGTTGGGGTGAAATTCAGTGAATTTCAGTGAGATAATCCACACAGGACACTTAGCAAAGGGCATGCACACAATAGGTGCTCTATGTAAGGCAGTTGCAATTATTATTCATTCAACAAATATTGAAACTTCTGCTGTTTGCCAAGCACTGACCTGAGTACTAGGGATACATCCATGAATGAATGAGACTAACCCCTGTTCCCAAGGAATTTAGTATTCTCTTTCTTTTCCCTTTTCTCTTTAGGACTTCTTGAGATCTGAAGCTATAAATCATGTAGTCCTGTGGATGTGCCCTTCTGTTCTGCGAGTCTCACCAGAAGGGGCATGGGTCATGTAGGCAGGACACTAGTTCAAGCAACGCCCTCTGCAATTTCCACATTACTTGGATACCTATGACCTCTGCCTAGTGAATGCAAGTGAGTGTCATGCCCACACAGAAAGCTGCCCAGACATAGGTTTCATGACAACATACTCTGCTCAAGAGTCTGAGGGAGTCACATAGACCACAGTAACATCATTTCTTGTAGCAACCACTTCTTCCATATCCTACCATTGGCCGAGGGAGTCCTGTGCACCAGCTCAACACTGGTGTATCAGTTCAGGTAATCCTGGCAGCAACCCTATGGATGACATGAGTCCACCCACTTCACAGGTGAGGGGACTCATGGTCACACTAAAGTAGTTAGCCCCAAGACACACAGCATATGTAGCAGAACTAGGACTCCAAACTTAGTACCAACCCCAAAACCCAAGTTCTGCCCCTCATTGTCTACTGCAAGCATGCCATGTCCCAAATAGATGCAAAGCAGAAAAATGTGAGTGTCCACCAGACACGGGCACTTGAGTAAGTACTCAAGAAAAAGAATCAGGCTCACTGCAATTACAGCCTTTGGAAAGAAAGTGGGAAGAATATAAGTGACATGATGAGAGTCATACCAAAGAATTGGGGAGAAGAAGAAAAAAAAACTAGAGATGCAAACCTGAGTAGGTGGTCATTTCAAGTCACACATTACCACGCAGCCTCAGGCTTGGTTCCTGATCTCCAACTTTCCAGCCTTGTGATAAATTACTGACTGTCTCTCAATCCCAGTTTCCTCATCTGAGAATAGGCCCAAACCACCCTCTGCCTCCTAGAGTTGCTGTGGAAAACGAAGATAATGAAAATATGAAGAGTAAGACAGATAGTAGGCACCTAATAAATGCTGCCTTTGTTTCAGAAGTTGAGATAAAGTGTTCTGTGGGTTGTAAAACTGCGCTCCACATTTTGGTGGTTCCATAATCATGATTATTGCTACTATCATTGTCATCCGGCTAATTTAGCTTAAAGTTCATTTCCATGTAAGAAATTCTAGTAGTTTGAGGAAAATCTTGCTAGGTTTATTCCTTACAGTTCTGAAAAGGTCAGCTCCCCAGAAATAACACATCTGGTGTTATTCTTTCAGATGACAGTGTCTGTATGCCAGGTAAAGAGAGGCAATGTGTTCAACTGCATTCCTCCAAAGCCCCTCCACTGTCTATAATTTAGTGAACTCACGTGGTACTAACCAGGTCTTATACACCAGCATCGAGATGTTCTGTATCCAATAGCAATAACAATGTCAACCAGTTGCTGCTAAAAGATCAAATGAACCCAAAGTGCAGAGAAAGCACAAAAGAACTGAACTCACAGCAATTATGTTGAAGAAGTCATCATCTCCCAGCGTATCCAAAATAGATGAGACCGTTTGCTTTGCAATAGTCAGCCGGAGTCCTTTCATGCTGCCACTGACGTCAACTAAAATAACAACGTCTTTTGGAGAAGTTGCTGCCTGGATGTACCTAGGTCAGGGGAAAATCAAGTGAAAGTGAATCCTAATCTCTCTTAGAGATTTCCCTTTAAAAAATAACAAGGAAGTTTGACCATTGCCTACCATTTTCGGTTCCTGCAGTCAAAGGCAATGACTCCATTCTCATCTGGTTCCCATTTAATCCCTAGAAGAAAAATGGGGTTATAAGAAACCCAGAAACTTCAAATATTTATTAATAGCATTTCAAGGTTGCCCTCCCTTGCTGATTGATTGGACAAGGTGAAAAACACATGTAAAGACCAACCCTGGAGCTCATCACATGCTCCAGCACCAACTCTGGGAAGAGCGCTCAGTCATAACCCTATAGTGAACAAAGCAGCCTTAGGTCAGCTGCTCCAAAGACCTTCAGAGAGCAGAGATATCTTTAGTACTGCACTGTCCATTGAGAGAGGACGTGACTCCAGTTCCTTCCTTTGGCTAATGATACAGGTAGCCAAGATCATTTCTCACCATCCAGCAGATTGTTGGACCTGATGGCATCATACATAGATCTCTGAGTAGAGTTGGGCCCCATCCCTGGTCCCAGGTGAGATCATGTCTACAGCGGGGTGAAGGGGGATGGAGAGCAAGCAACACAATGTTTCTATCTCAGAATATATACAGGCCTGTTCCCGCCTTATTACTCTTTTAAAAACAGAAATTTTGGTCTGGATTTCCACACTGAAATGAAATAAAAAGGCTCTAACTATCCTGCATAATAAAGTTTGAATTTCAGCTTCTGAAGCCTGGGGAGTTTTCCCCAAGTGAAAAATCAGATCCAACATCCTTAGTCTTGTGGTTTGCAAACTAGTCGGGACGTATCCAACTTAGAGTTTAAGAATAAAATTTCATTAAAAAAATAAAGGCATTTGATGCTTAAAAATAAGATAGGAAATCATTGTTTGCAACCAACAGTGCTGTTCAGGAATGGAGAATTTGAAACCAAGACTTTGGAGATAAGAAAATAAAAACAGAAAAATCATTTTCACAGGAGAAAATCCTGACTCAGATTGTGGCATTGAGATTCCATTCCCCAGCCAACAATGGCCTGCTTTCTAAATCTTGCTGGGCTAATAATAGGCACGTGCTTAAAATAACATCCCAAACTATTACACAGATAACCTTGAGATGGTAGTTTGTAAACTCAAAGAGATATTTTGTTTTATCTTCCTTGTACGTACATTTTCCACCTGCTCATATGCTTAATTTAAAGAGCTTCCTATCAGAAATCAGAAAACAGCAGTCTAAGAGCCACTGCCAATTGAAGATCATTAGAGAATAAAGATAAAATATACTTGACATGATGCACACTAAGGGGCAAGAATGCAATTTATTTAAAAAATATCCGACACACTGCTTTGTATAAAGCCAAGTACCATTAGGAGGGCACAGTCTTGACACATAGTGAAGTTATATTCCAGATGAGGCTAGACAATGTTCTAGTTTACAACTTCACAAATAATTGGTTTGAGTGTGATATAAAGAGAATTTTTATCTTGTGTTTTAAATGTGCTGAACCACGGTAGATGTTCAATGGCTGTTTCTTGAATTGAATTGTGAGTGTCCTTAGACCACAGCCATCCCTGCATATACTGGTGGCAGTCCATCACCATTTTCTGTTTCTGCCATCCTCCTCCCATCACTGCATGCTCCAGGGGAACAGAAAATGTGTTATTTTCTTTTCTGTCCCAACATTTAGGTCAGAACCTGGGACAAAGGATGTAATGATACTCAATGATCTCCTTTTGGAGTGAAACCATTTCCTTGCATACGGGCTTGTGACTTCTCCCAGGCACTGCCAATACGTGGTACTTTAGGAAAAGTTTATGAAATGATGAGTCTCTGGGAAAACCGATAAGGGATATAATTTTAATGTGAAGGTGGATCAGATGGGACGATCCCAGAGCCTTTTGTCTACTAATCACAATTTCCATCCAACTGGCAAGCATTCTTTCAGTCAGTGGACACACAGCATGGACTGAGAGAGTTGGGCCTGGTTCCTGCCTACCTTCAGGAAGCCTCAGATCTAGCAGGGAGGCAGACACTGAATAAAAAATCACAAGTACAAGAACCATTATGAAAGAGAAGTACTTGATGCTATGTTCATAGATAAAGAGGATTCTAGTCCCTACTGGGAAGAAGGCATCTCTGAGCTGAGAGCATAATGATAATGTATTACATTGCTAGGGCTTCTGTAACAACGCACAGTCAGGTCTTATTGTCTGTGGGGTACCAGGACTCCCCCTGCTCAGTCTGAAGATGCTCAAGTCCCTGATTTAAAATGATACAGTATTTGCATATGATCTAAGCACATCTTCCTGTATATTTTAAGTCATTCCTTTATTTTTTATACTACCTAACACAATGGAAATGTCATGGAAGTAGTTGTTATACTGCATTTTTAATTTGAATTTTTATATTGTAATTTTTTTCTGAATATTTTTGATCCTTGATTGGTTGAATCCACAGAGGCAGAATCTTGCAGACACAGAGTGTTGACTGTATTACAGACTGAGTGGTTTAACAGAAGTGTATTCTCTCGCTGTTCTGGAGGGTAGAAGTAAAAAATCAAAGTGTCAGCAGGGCCAGATTCTCTCCAAAAGTTCTAAAGGAGATCTTCTCTGACTCTTCCTAGCTTCTGGTGGCTCCCAGAAAACCCTGGTATTCCCTGACTTGGAGCCGCATCACGTCAATCTCTGCTTCCATTTTCACATGGCCATCATCGCTGTGTCATAGAACCTCCTCTTCTTATACACCTCCAGTTTATATTAGATGTAGGGCCACCGTAATCCAGGATGAGCTCATCTCAACTTAACTACCTGCATTTGCAAAGGCCCTATTTCCAAGTAAGGTCACATTCTGAGGCTCCAGATGGACATGAATTTTGGGAGGACACGACTCAGTCCATTACATATGGATAGGATTTGTTAATCAAAAGAAAAAGTGGAAACAGGGCAGAGAAGAATACTCCAGGGAGAGAGAACAGCATGTGCACAGGTCCTATGACTGAGAAGAGTGTGTCAGCTTTAAGGAACTGAAAGACTGCTGGTGTGGTTGTGCATAGAGAAAACCCCTGCCAGAGAAAGGAATCTTAGGTGGCAGCAGAAACTATGAGGTCCAGGTCCTTCATGCTCAGGATATGATGCATGCGTTGAGTAGGGGTGAAGACAGTATCTCAAGGGAGATCCATGCACAGCCGCTCTGGAAGTTACAATAAACATCATACTTTGACTAGATGAGCCCAAGGAATAAGGGGGAAATAGTGGGGATCACCTTACCCAAACCTAATATTTGGGCCCAAATTTTCCTGAGATGTCCAGTTAGGACTAAGACCTGTTCTCCCAACTCCCATGTCACCATTCTCTTCCTTGCAGAAGCATTTCCATAAGGGTGTTTCATGAGAAATTTTATAGGGTATTAACATGAGTTAAGTGAATAAGAGAAAAACTCCTTTCTATGTGATGGGAGGAATATCTGAGAGCCTTTATCTGCTCAAGTGCAACTTAAATATCTATGACAGGGACACCAGAGGCAGCATTTGCCAAATGAATTTGACCATTGAGTCCTTCTTCTCTCATGAATCTCACAAGAGAGTGTTTTAGGAGACAATCTTCTGGAAAGCCTGTTCCATTTGGTGCTGTATCCCCTATTTTTGGTACACATAGATATTCTGAAAATGTTCAAGTAACTTCAAATTTCATAGGAATAATAGTTGGCTCATCTTAAATCTTTGAAAGCTACAGAATTATCATGTACCAAGAAGCACCCCATGAGCCACATAATTTCTGGAGGTGTCAATATGCCTTTGGAATCCCACCCAGGCTGAAAGAGGCATGAAACCCAAGACAAGAGGAATGATGCCATTCAATCTTCTCTCTGAGGCACTCTGGGCTTCACTGTCAGCATCAATGATTACCAGCCAGCCTTCTGGAGCTCTCTGAGGACAGCATTTCTAGAATGTTAGAAGATCTCCAGGTGAAATGGAAAATAGTCTCAAAATCTCCACTGCAGATTCAAATACTCAAATCTGAGTGAATTTTAAATAGTATGCAACATTCCTCTATCCCATAGTTTCTCTCCCATAGGCATTACAAACTAATATTGTAGGAAAATTAATTTCATCTAAGACAACATATGATTTCATCCTCTCTTTTAGCACATGAAAATAAATAGTAGGGCCAACAGAGCAGAGCCTACCACATTCTGCCAATATAATTCCTATGTGGCAACAAGATCTGAAACAGTCTAACACAACGAGGAAGGGCTACAAAAAATCTCCTCATCATGGTGTTGGTACTTGTGATTTTTTATTCACTGTCTGACTTCCTGCTAGTACAATACAAACCCAAATATGTCTTCACCCTCTGGACTTATTTCTGCTTGGCTCTGAGCTCTGAGCTCCTCCTTTTCCTCCACTTCAAAAAAGGATATCTTAGCTCATTCCTTCTCTTCTCTTTCCTGCAAAGTGTTCTCCATGCAACATCCCTGGCATTGCTAATGAGATCCAAACCATTTCCACAACCTATCACCCAAGCAGATACTGACTATCCCATTGCAATGTGGGATTTCCCTATTTGAGAACAAAAAGTCCAAAAAGACATGGAAAGAAAATAAGGAAAATCAAGATGCAGTGGATGTTGTTTTATCTCTAAATGAATAGATTCTGCCCAATTCCTTCCTCAAAAAGCATTTGGTACTTGGCCCATAATCTAAAACTTAAATACATACCTTCCTGTATAACTTTATATCTAAAACAAATGCTGGTTTGTAATGTGAGTCGACCTAGAGTCAAATATGGCTTTAAAATGTGTTCTGAGAAGCAGACTATGTGCATTTCTTTAAAAAGAGCTTCTTCATTCAACCAAATGCCATCTCCTTTAACAATCTCTTGAGAGCACATAAGCCAGGATAAATCACTATGTAACAAGAGAGTCACTACAAAAATTATAAAATATGGTTTTCCATAATGATTTTTATTGAGGTGGTCCTGTTGAACTGGCCAATGAAGAGAAATTTCATATTCATCACACTTTACCCATTGCTATACCTGAGCTTCTGAGGAAGGTAGGGAAGAGAGTAGAGACAAAGAAATGCTGTGCACAGAGCCTAAACTTGATACCAGCAAACAGCATGTTTGAGGTCAGACTTGCAGGGAGCTATTTACTTCCTCATCATGGTTGTAGCCATGAGCCAGCTCTCATCTTCCTATGACACCTAAATCAAGACAATCAATTTCCTTTATAATCATAAGCTTCCTATAGGAACAAGCTCCCCAAGATGAGGCACTAGAAGGGATGCTTGGGAAGGGATCGAGGCTTCTTATTATCATGCCTGAATCTAACTGGCCTGTGTTTGTTTAGATATTGACCTGTCTGTGTTTTCTCTCTTTACTGAGGTAAGAACAGGTAGGTTCAGGGAACTGTCAACCAGCCATATCATTTTCAATAAAACTAAGAATTGGAAGAAGAAAGGATAGAACAGCACTGGTGGGCTCCCCCGGTGACCAAGTAGAAATCGGATCCCTCAGAGGGTTGTAAAAAGATGCATTGATCAAGGCTCACAGGAAAAGGGCTGACTGCAGGAATGACTCTCTGCTTCCTAGAAGATGGTGGGCCTGGAGAACTCTTCTAACTAAATGAGATGGTCATGAGGCATCATGAGGAAACAGTCAACAAATGGGTATATCCAGTGTCCAAGATACAGTGGATACTGGGGTTGAAAGGAAAGATTCCTAGGAGGACTTGGAGGGGTGAGATCAGTGGGAAAAGAAAGGGACCATGGCTGTGGATTGTATTTATGTCAGCTCCCTGATGGGTCACCAAGTCTTTAGCTGACAGCAGCTGGGACCAGCTCCCCAGAGAGGCAACAGTTCTATTGTATCTGAGGAGAGAGGGTCTCTACTACTGGTGTGATGGGAGACAAGATATCTGGTGGAATCTGATTCACTGGGTGATTCATTCATTCAACAAATAGATATTGAGCACCTATAATGTGTTATTCTTGCTGCTGGTGACCAAATAATAGACAAAACAAACATCTCTGTCCTCCCAGGGGTAGGCATTCTAGTAAAGGAAACAGGATTTAGAAGCCTGATGGCTCAGGATTTCAAGCTAGAGTTCACCTTTATAAAGTAAGAACCATAGAGCCTAACTGAAGTCCTCTGCTTAATAAGACCTTTTTGCAATGCAGGCCCTGAAAGATAAGGCAGGTACCTTGGAAACTGGCTATCAGACCACAAAATATACTGCTTTACTATTCAACATGGTAGTTACCAGCCATATGTGGCTATTTAATTTTAAATTTAAATTAATTAAAGTTAAGTAAAATTTAAATGTCAGTTCTTCAGCCTCACTAGGCACATTTTAAGTGCTCAGCAGCCACATGTGACCAATGACTACCATACTAGATAGAGTAAATATAGAACATTCCCATTATCTCATGAAGTTCTTGTGGACAGCAGAGAGTTGGCACATGCCCAGAGGACATAAGTTGAACTTGTGAGCTTGTCTAAGTATGAATCCAAGTACAAATGAACAACATCATCACAGGTATACGTTCAGGCTAATTCTCACCAAAATTCTCCTTTCTGGAACTCTTCCTTCCCACCTCAGAAGCTGGGACTGTTGCTCCTTCTCAGTGATCACCCAGCACCTTCTATTTCTCCCACCTTAGCATACGACATTGCACCATGATGATCTGGTCACTGTCTATCTCCCCATGGTGGTCACTGACGCCCCTTCTTTTGGGGATCCACTCTAGGCAAGGCCAAAAGAATCCTAACTAGTTCCCATGATTTCAGATGGCTGGCCTTACACACTATCCAGTCCACCTGGCTTCAGTGGTGAACATGTGATCCAGACCAGGTTAATCCCTGAACTTTTCTCCCAACCATCAAGACAGATGCCCACTCCTACCTTGGGACCCTCACTGAGAAATCCTACAAGCCCACACCATCATGAAGAGATCACATGCCAGTGAAACAAGGTCAGAATGGAGGAATGCAGAAGTAAAAGATGGAAGGAGGGATTCAAAATTCAAATGACATTTCTAAGTATTAAAATCCAGTTGTGCCTCCCAAACAGCACACTCGCTAGATTTCAAGCTACATGAGCCAGTAAATGTGTTTCTTGCTGGAGCTAGCTGGAACTGGGTTTCTGTCACTTGCAACCAACATCGCTAATGAATGCATTTCCCCACAAGAGGGAGCTTCACTGGGCAAAGACCTCGTCTGCCTGGTTCACTATTTTATCCTCAAGGGCCTTGCACAGTGCTTGGTAAAAAGGCAGAACTCAGGACACGCTTATGTAAGACTGAAGGAAAACTTCTGCTAAGGACAAGTACACGTACCACTGATTCATACCACTTGTAACAATGGAGAGAAACTTCCTAAAAGAAAACTATTCTAGCAAAAGTTCTCATGATCATTTTCCAGGAGGCAAGAGGTTATGTTCTGTGTTTAGAACCGGTTAAGCACAGAGTTGAGTGACCAAATGACACATATCAGAGCAGTGGAACACCTTTGGTGGACAGTGACCCGTGTCTTCACTAACAGAGAAAAGATGCAGATATTTTGCAGTCAAATCCTGCCCAAAATGTCATGAAAGAACCGTAAGTATGTCTGAGTCAACCGTTCTGACTGATAAAAACTTTGTATGTAAATTAATCTCCCCTATTACATAAACCTTTTATAAGGATTCCCTTCATTTTCAAATGCCTCATGACCATGGTTTAAGGGCTTCCTGCCAGTGGAGACAACAGGTAATTTGTGGTTTCTACTTATCTGCCCCGCTTTCATCTCAGTGACACATAGTGGGAGGGCTGTATGCCGTGACTTCCCAGGCAGACCAGCTGCCCCAGCAAGCTCTAATGTCAGCAACATCATCAGATTTGCTCTCTGCTGAGGGTATCAAGGCAGATTGCAATTTGGTGGCCCTGGAACTTTAATTGCCCACTGTTTATTATAGTGTTATCTTTAGTAGGATGCTTATTATTTACAATTCTGTGAGCTCCAGGAGGAAGCATGTGTGCCCTGCTGAACATGGCTCATGGGAAATGTTGAATAATTTGGCAAAACAGACACCCTGCAGGCAAGTCTCAGGGGACAGATGCTGTGCATAGGGCAAAAGTTCCTCAAGGCAGAGGCTGACAATCTCTGAGCCTCAAAGTGGGAAGGCATCAGGTGCCTAGTCTTACTTAATGAAAACATAAAAGACTCCACTTAATTGCTCCAAGATTATGCAGGGTGTTTTCTTCCTTCTTTTAGGTTGAGCTTGTTAATTTCTACAGCTGTGATGTTGGCACAATTGCAGCCTCGAGTCCTGTTTTCACAACTTGCAAGCAAAATTAAAACTTCCTTTTTTAATTAAAATTCAAACCAAGCCAGAATTAAAATCCCATTGCAAAGTAGAGGCCTGGGAAGGCTCCAGAAGGAACACCTGCTCCAAAGGCTTGATGGACAGCCTCTGACAATGCACTGCTGAAGAGTGCTGGGGGCAGCCTTTGTGAACAGGGTTGCTGCTGTCAGCAGGGCTTTGGCCATTTCAACCTCTTCTTCCAAGTTGAGCCAGCTCTGAGGCAGAGAAACCCAAGTTCAAATTCTCTATTTCTTATAATCTTTAGTCAGAATTTAGCGGCCCAAGTATGATTTGCTCTTTTTCCTAATCATAATAATGATAATAACAAGAAGAGTAGTAGTAAGAGCAATAAAACTGAACTCTTGTCCAGAAGGATTAATTAGGGTACATTGCACACCCCCATTCTTCACTTTTGGTGGCAACTCTATGAATTATGAAGAAAGAATTTATTGAGGGCGATGCAAGTCCAGAGAGGAGTTCTGTGCTCAATATCCTGAGTGTGTGAGCAGATACCACCTTGCCATTCTTGTCCTGCACCTCGACAATAGATTTGAATGTAATCTTTCATTTTATTCTAAGGGAGAGAGAAATATTTTACTTCTGGACCCTAAAGAAAAAAATATTACAGGATCATTCATCTGAATCATAATTGTCAACACAGGGATACTCACCCGGATACTGCCTAAAAAAGCCCTTTGCACTTCCAAAGTACTGCCATATAAGAGATGGGTCACGGTCAAAGTTATCAACAAAAACTTTGTTTAGGGATTCAGACCAATAAACCCCATTAACAATTGCAGGGTCTGGAAAAAAGAGAGAGAGAGAAGTGTTACAAGCCAAAGTGAAATAAAATCCCTGGCTTCCCACATTTTCATATCACATGGGAGATACCAGCACAAGGTATCCCATCTTTCAGAAGGCAGTGAAAAAGTCACAGCTCCAAAAATGTTTAGCTCCTGGGAATTCCAGATGCTAGGGCTTCCCCTCCTGCCTAAGTCCTCCTAGCCACCGAGGAGTCTCTACTGATGGTTCCTTACTTGAAAGGCATATCCCTTTATTTGCAACTTTCAGTATTACATAACTCACAGTTCTTGAGAAGTCTGAAAGAGACCATACTATTATTTTCCTGCTTTTCACCAGTACTGAACCAGAACTCAGTATTCAAAATAGGAAACCTGTGTTTTCTCTCACTGTGGTCACCTCAGCCACCAACAAATCCCTGCTCCATTTCTCTCCATCCTTGACTTAGATGTTTGCTTTTTAAAAAATTAATAGCCAGGCTCGGTGGCTCAGCCTGTAATCCCACGCCTTTGGGAGGCTGAGGTGAGTGGATTGCCTGAGCCCGCGGGATCGAGACCCGC